CTAGCATATAAATAGGTCCTCATAATTTGTGATACTGGTTTTCATGCTTGCACATGCGATGGGTCATAGTACATAAGAAGTGGTCCTTGAACTTAGTAGGTGGCGAGTTCGATTCCGGCGAAGGGCGATCCTTGTCTTAACTACAAACCGCCTCCAACATGGAATTCACCATATGTTGCTTAGTTGGTAGGGCATCTAACTCAGAAACAAAAGACCCCAGGCTCCTGCCATGGTTAAGAGTACTCGCCTATCATTCTTCTGAGGCTTGTAAATGAGGGCCACTCTGTGCGAAAGAAACAGAAGATTTGCATTTTGTTTGCCACATAGCTGCTGTTGATACTGTCTTCAAAATAAGGCGCTCTTAATTGGTGTCATGCCAATTAGGATCAACGCCCTAGCCTTCGTTAAAAAGAGCGTCAGAAATCATTCTGCCACCAAAGTTGGAGGAACATCGACATTCCAGAGGTCACAAACATTCGTTCGTCTTCCTTGCATGCGACGGCGGCTTCGTGCTGTAGAAAACGGTGCTTTCGGAAGTAACGCCCTGGCAGGCTTTCGATTTGCTCTCTGCGGCTGTCGGCCCAGCTCTGTGAAGTTTTTGGCTGCTGCTTTCAATTTTGGTACATGTCAGAAACGAAGAATGTGAAAAATTTTTAGCAGCTTTAAGATCCGTCTTATTTTGTCAACGTTTCACAAGCAGTCAGTCACCAAAGGGTCGTAAATCATACATTCTTAACGCGTTTAACGATTTTCTCATTCCGGTTAAAAGCCATACTGTACCGTTCTGACGTTGTCAAGTCACCATAAGTGCAGAAGTCCTATAGTGGCAATTGCAAACGTCATGGGAAACTATGCAAAGTACGTTAATTAGCAACAAGATAATTGAGTTGTGTACTCACGATCAATTTAAGGCCAAGATGCGGTACAAAAGGGAGAGTTTTCGTTCTGCCAACCATGGAGTTTCATAACCCTTCTCATTACTCTAACCTCACTCCATAGCAGTAAGGGAAGGAACGTTCTAATATCTGGCCAAGAATTGAAAATGCTTAAGAAACAATTAACTTCGTCGAATTCCTTTTGGCAAAAATATGCTTGTTGATCGCGCATTGGAAAGAGCCGCATCGCTTATTAACAG